AATTTATTGTGCACATGGTCGCTTCATTTATGCGCAAAACTAAAAATGTCACGAGGTTCGGGTATTACAGCTTTTTAAATATGACACTGGCTAATTATATGTTACGTGAGTATTGATTAACAACAATCACATTGATTATACCAAGTACAATTTTTAATCACAATTCAGTTATGATTAATGTGGTTTATAGAATCGTTTTGCCCCCTCTCCTCCCCCACCCCATCCTATGAAATTTAACATAGAATTTTATGTTAATCCTATGTCTATACTTTAACATAGGACATCTCTCATAGGTTTAACATAGGGACGCTTTAACATGGGTTTATGTGTTATTACAGCTTGAGTCTATGACATAGGGATAACATGGGTAATGCTAAGTCTATGCAAGTAATGTTATTTCAATGGAATGATGCTTTTTTAAAATTAAAATAGACTAAATAAATCTGACATAATAAATCGAACTAATTGTTGTTAAAACCATTTAAAATTCTCTACAAACCAATAGTTAATGTATTCTAACAAAAGGATTGAAAAATTAAAAATCTTTGATGCATTTCCCGAATTGTGGTTAACGTATAGCATCGCTGTGTGATCCTTGTTTTCTTATTTATTATTTTCGTTTTTAACATAACAGCTGTTCAATACGATATGGCCATGTTGTTTAATGATGATCCGGATAATTTAAATAAATATTTGACCATTATGTATGATCAGAATCTAATATTTCAGGCAACAGTGAATTTTATTCTCCAAATACTGAACCCTGACATTCGCCGCAAACATATAGCAGGAAAAATGGCGGCCGAAGAGTATATAAGTCTGGATGAGGTGCCGGTCTATGCCGGCGGCAGAAACACCAGTTATCGCAGAATACCACCGATGGTTAAAAGTGGCAAATGTTTGCCACATCTCAAGCATATATCCAAAAGTGATTGGGATTTGTTTATTGAGGTTAATCAAGAGTGTATAGAAGAGGGTAGAAAAGAGAGTGGAGGTAAACCCCTTAATGAGTATCTCAAACAAAACTGTGAAATGCCGGCAAAATCTAAACAAAAAGGTGCACCCGTTTTGGTTCCCAATAGTAACAGTAAAGTAAGAACAACCGACAAAACCAAACGAGTTCAACGAAAACAATCAACTAAACGAAACCCACAAAAGCAAACAAAACCAACCAAATCAACGAAACACACAAAAGCAAAGAAACCAAAAAAATCAATCACATAAAATAGAAACAATCAAAACCATTATAAGTTTAATATTAAAATTTTTGTTACATTAAAAGTAATTGCTTTTTAAATGAGAAATTTTTTAGCAAGTAATTGCTTTATACTTTCTTATAATTATATCAATCTTATATTTTATAGCTATTATTATCCAAATAAATTAAGTTATTAAATAAAGTATTTAAAGTATTAAATAAAATAAATCATTTTTTTGACGGGATAGGAATTAAAGACAATCTCTATAAATGCATATAATTTATGTTTGCTTTTTATTTAATATAATTTTATACGGTTTGGGGCACTGAAACCATAATACACCTGGATCAGATTCAAGCATAGTCAATGTGCGTTCAGTTTCGCAATGTAAGTTAATTGTATAGTCCTTGGTCAACTGCAACAATGTGACCATGCTATAAAATAACTCATTCAGTGCCATTGGTTCGCCGGGACAGATACGTTTACCACTTGCAAACGGCATATAAGCATTAGGTTTAACTAGATCGAGACAACCGTTTTCATCAAGAAATCTATCCGGGTTAAAACAATCTGGATTTGTCCAATGCTCTGGATTGTTCATGATATGTGCCTGATGCAACATTAACACACTATCTACCGGAATGTTATATTTGCCTTTGAACAATATTTTTATCAATATAAAAAATTAATATAAATGTTAATTTTGTTGCATATAATGTGTCTATAATTTGTTACCTATTTTCCCGGTAGCCGTTGCATAGTGTGGGACACCAGTAGGCGTGGGATTTCTCACACGTAATATTTCAAATATGAATGACATTGTATGTGGTAAACGAACTTTGTCATTGGAAACAGGCAAACGATCACCTAGCACATTCATGATCTCGTCACGTATATTTTGCTGCAGCTTTTGGTAATAAGCCAGATATAATAGCATCCATTTATATGCTGTTAAAGTTGTTTCGGTGCTAGCTAATAATTGTAAAATTAATAACTTAATAATTTAATTATGTAATAATCATATTACTTTTACAATAAATAAAATTTTAGTAATAAAATATAGGCTTAATTAATATTGAATTATTTATTTTTGAATAATATTATTAATTATACTCACCAAGAATAAAATCAATTAAAATGGATGTCAGGTTATCATCGGTAAAATAGGGTGCCGTGTGTTTGTCGTCAGCGATTGCATTGTGTTTTTCAGTAATTAATAGATCGCAAAAGTCTCTCATAATTGCCTTATTATATGTACTTTCATGAGTTTGATATATATTACGGGTATAATTCTGAATAAATTTAAACAACTTGCTAAATTTAATGAATGGATTGCGCATAAAATAGCGCGTGATGGGCACAAAGTCATATATAAACACGCTCGCGCCAAACTCTTTAAAATGGTCGGATAAAATATACTTTATTGCTATAAACTCATAATCATCCCTGTTGAATCTAATGACAAAAATAATTACATAATGGTAAATTAATCTATTTAAATATAATATGATTATACTGTGCTTACTTTTTGTTAAACACAATTGTGCATGCGATATTTAAAAACAAACTGTATGCAAATGTGTCTGGTGTAAATGGTTTATTAATACCCTCTTCAACCTTTATCAACCGTAACATTTCAGCCGTACTGTTGGCCACTAATTGCGAAAAATCATTGGATTTGGCATAATTTCTATCAAACAAAATGTTTATGTCAAAGTAAATTAATTATAATTATAAGACCCTAGCACTAAAAGTACTTAAATATCTATAATATGAATGTGCAAGGAGAGCTATGTTAAGAATATTTACTATCTAAACTTTTAGTTATAAATTTATACGTTTTAAGCACATTCATAATCTGTAATGTATATTTGTAAATATCAAACCAACCTAATTGCAGACAACATTACCCTACGTCCACTATTCCAGGCAGGACCATAATCAGCACTTGGCACACCCCTCGCGTTTTTATCATCATTGTATAAAGATTCTTACAATAGTTAAATTTGTTATTAATATTACAAAATATAAATTGCAATAATTAAACGTCACATTAATGTGTGTATAATACTTACGATATTGTGTTTCCGGTCGGCCACAGAAATGTGATTTATTAAAGGCCTGGCGCCCCATATCGGGGTCGCATATAAACACGAATGGTAAGGGACCGATCCATAGGGTAAACACCGGGCCATACACCTTGCTCAATTCACTAGTCTTCACATTCCAGTGTTTTTGAAAGTTGCGCAACACTTTTGTAGTAATAATAATATTAATTAGTAATTAATAATTACTTTGTATTAAATGGTATAATTAATTTGTATAATTAGTAATATATTGTACATTACATAATAAATTGCCGATCAAAGGCAATGGAATGGGACCAGGTGGGTAATTGCCCAAGTTTTTGTAGAATTTTATTACATAATAAACAAGAGTGGCAATTGTTATTGAAACAACAGTAGAAATTATATTTGTAAAATTACAAATATACAAAAGTAGCATTTTGTCATTTGTTGTTTAGAAAACTAAAGCCTTAAAAAACAGATGTTTATTTTCAAATTTAAACTCAATTATTGAATTAAATATAATTATGTTATTAACCATTTTCAAAAGAGACCTCTATACTTAGCTACTTAAATAAATTAATTAATTAAGTATTTTCAATATTTTGATTATAAAACAATATTGTGAACAAAACAACATTATGATATAATTATTACCGATATTATGAATAACAATGTTATATAATTTGCACCAATGTTTATACTATATACCAATTTATATTATAAAGTGTTATTATTTTTTAGTAACTTTAAATATTGATAAGAAATTACAGGTAAATAAACTATTTTCTTGGATTTTAATTATAAATTTGGAGTAATAAGGCATACACTCATTCCCATATACTGTATATTTCCATACTTTCATAGGTTAAACTCATAATGTATATTAATTATTGTAACTTTCCATGAAAGCCATATCATAACTATACTCACTATTTGTAAGCCTTTCTA